TTTTGTATTACAGGCAGGGCTGAAATTTCAACCTGGTCAACAGGGTTGAGTTCAACGTTAACTCCGGGGTTGAAAATGCCCCATGTAATTGGCCCCTTAGTCCACGTCCACAGAACAGGTGGAAATTTTCAACAGGGTGCTTGTTGGAAGCTGCTAATGATTGATGTAGCGTGTGGTACATGGGATGGTTGTTCTCTTGCCAATATATGAAATGAGAGAGAACCACTAACATTGCCTTATCATGATGACAATGACATAAGTCAATCTCTAATTTGAAAGGTCAAGGCTGCTGAATTTCTCACAAACAATTCGAGTTCCCATGATAATCCTGGTCGGGCTGTGTTACTGTCAAGAGGTGCATGGGCAAAACATGGAGACAAGAAAGTGGAAACTACCAAATTTGTTAACGTTGGAAGCATGGTTGTCACCAACCGAGTTCTTCCATTGGGCTTTTCATCAGTGGAAAGACCTTCTAATCCAACAATATAATTACACTGCATCACTATCACGAGTTTTATATGCTTTACTAAACAGTTGTTGATTCCATGATCCTAAAAATAGACATTGTGGTCTTTCTATTTTCTACAAATACTACAATTGTATAAAACACATAGTAAAAACGGCGTACTAAAGTAAATAAGTAACCCTCAGTTGACTGACAATCTGGTGCTCGAAAAAATTATTAATCTTTTAATATACTGACAGCCTATAAAATATATATGAATCATAAGCATGAAATATATAATATGTTTGATATTATTACCTTCAATTTCCATTGGCACAGCAAATGTGATAAGATCGAATGAACTGATAAAAAAATCTGTGATTGAATGCTTTCGTGATAGTCCTTTGTGTCGCATTTTTCGAGGGCACTCTTTCCACCTTGAGTGTAACCTACCAGACATCAGTGCTTGCCCATTTTAAAAATAATATCCTCTCAAGTCAGAAGCTTGGGCCAACGAGGCAATCATAAATTTCGAAAAGAAATTGCCATTCATTGAAACGGCGTTTCTTCTATTTTACTTTAAATTTGTGCTATATACCACAGCCGGCACAATTTTAGTCGTGTAGTGGCCGATTGTCAGAAGATTTAACTCCAAAATCGCAGTGAAAATGCCTTCTTTCTCAAATGCCTCAAGCCTCTCTTAATTAAATATTTCCGGATATAAACCTTGGCTTACCCTGGGTGCCAGGGGTTCTTCCACGCTCGTAGGGATAATGGGGGATACAGGAGGATTCAAGCTGGGCGACGGCGAGCGGGAAGAACCTCTGGAACACTTCTAAGGTTTTTTCTGTGTTGGTGTAGTGTACTCAGGTGAATATGATATTTGTGGTGTTACTCTGAGTGTATATCCACACCGGGCGAGCTTGAAAAATATGCCCGGCCACGGTGGGATTCGAACCTACGACCTCCACCCACCGTGGCCGGGCATATTTATCGAATCCCACCGTGGCCGGGCATATTTTTCAAGCTCGCCCGGTGTGGATATACACTCAGAGTAACACCACAAATATTATAACTTCTAAGGTTTCTCATATCAACCGCACCAATCACGATGCTTAATAGTGTGAAGTGATCCAGAATCTGGATCACAGTGTTAATTGGTTAACGGCAGAGACTTGTCAAAACAATGACTTTCATTGGCTGTTTGAACCGTATATGTCCTTCAAGGATATTATCGTTCAGAATCCGTACAGGCATAAGCTGTTGTTTAATATATTATATTTATAACATAGTCAGGCCGTAAATATATATGCCTTTAGTTTTGCGAGTCTTGCGAGAGGATTTCAACAACTCGGTCGCGGTTGATTTGATTTTGAATTTTTTTACTGGACGGTGTTACAAAACTCAATAAACATCAAGTTGATGCCTAGTTTCGGTGTTTCAGTTAATGCAGCGTCGTGTTATGTTTGCTATATTACCAAGAGGGAATTTCGTGTGCGTGTCTGTCTAGTAATCAAGCATGTCAACACAAGATGGGAGTCTTTATAGGCCTATTTATATCGAGGTGAATTACCCGGCAAGTCGAGTTTATACTCGTGAACGACAAGATCCCGGATATATTATAGAAACTTATACAGTAGTAAAATCCGGGAGACTACTTACATGGCGTCAGCCGAGTATAAATAAACTCGCCAGTGACGAGTTCCCGGCAGAAAGAGGCAAGATATTGCCTTCGGCGAGATGAATAGTTACCATATTAAACAAAAGATGTTCGGGTATTTGTTAACTTGGCCGCCCGAGATCGAATGTATGTATATAAATGCATGTGCTTTGCATTTGAAATGTAATATATTGCTCAAAAATACATACGAATCATTAGATAAGTTTTATTAGCCAATTGCAGAGTAAATCGCCTCCATATAAACAGGGCCTTGGACGGAAATATTCGTTTGTATTATGGTGAACAAAGTTCAAAGTTCAATCTACCGAGGCGACGATCCTTTTACTGTACATACCAAAATACCCATTGTGAATAACAAATTTACTTCTCTCCACTTACTCGTCTCCGCTTTTTTGTAACACTTTTAACAGGTGTACGGTCTAATGCCATGTGGCCATATAATATTATTCGGTTTATTTTACTATAAAGACTCGCTAATTTTAATTTTTTGTTTTGAAATTGACACATTCTTTCGCAATTCCATCGCTCAAATGTTCGGTTGAACATGCCCAAATCATCATCAGTCAAAAATAAATACGTGTCCTATTGCCTAACGTCTGATTGACATATGACAGTTAAAACAGTAAAAGCCTTAGAAGTGTTCCAGAGGTTCTTCCCGCTCGCCGTCGCCCAGCTTGAATCCTCGTTTATCCCTTATTATCCCCCCTACGAGCGTACAAGAACCTCTGGCACCCAGGGTAGCCTTGGCTTCACTTCCTTTAGAATCATAACACGTTTTTGACCTATTCGAAAGTGACGTTGCAAACGCCGTTTTTTTAATGCGGATAATTTCAAAACTAAGCGATTAAACGCAAATTTTTCGAAAATTTTATATTTTATAGGATTTCATTGAAATAAGCTTAAAAAATTAAAAACCCAGGCGCCTCCAAGGCTTTATTTACGACCCTAATTTTCGAGTTGAAATACGCGTATAAACCGGAAGTAGTAAAAATGTACGCGTTCTGATTGGATTAGCGCCAAAAGGTGAACAAATGCTCTGATTGGTCGAGAATATTATTCGCCCTTGTTTTTCAATGATCCAAAGAATGCATGCTCAAATATTTTAAAGAACAAACGTCAAAACACACATTACATGGCCAGAAATGACGGACATTGTGCAAGCGTACCAGTCGGTCAGCGGCTTTTCCGTTTATCCGCAAGAATTCCTAATTATCCTTTTACGACCTATCAAAGCATCCGGAATTTCAAATATTCGCGTGGGTGTTGTTTATAAAGCAAAGCATGAAGTATGCACTCAAGTTGTGGCCTTTGGTTTACCAGGCTCAGGGTGTAGCTAAGCAATGACTACGGGAACGAAAAGAGAAGCTTTCGACGAGTATTTTGGTACCAAACATGTAGCAAGGCAATCAATATATATAGTTTGGCAAGCGAATGGAATATCACTTTTCGACCGCGAAGTAATATTATAATATGCATATTAACGCACCGGCTTGCGAATTTCAAAACAAAAAAGCAGAGCTTTTATCGGGTGTAACAAAATAATAAACGGCGGAAGACAAGGCTATACTATTCGTCAAAATAAAATGATTTCAACAAATTTCGATAATTGAATATATTACGAGATATAGCCTTTTGAGCGAGAAACCTTTATAGATTCCTATGTAAAATGAGGTAAAATGTTGTAATATTCAATCGCAAAAAGCAGAGCCAGTATGCAAAGAAATGAAATCTTTTTTTCTTAATGTGTTACTATACGACCGATACTACTGGAACCAATTTCAACAAATATTGAAAGATTTATATATAGCATGCTATATTGAAAATACTCTGCTCGCCAGATAATAAACATAGGGCATTGCGCAGCCATTGTTGCGTGGGTGCTCGTGGTAACGTGAAACCTGAGAAATGAAAATGTCCGTGATTTCTGGCCATGACTGATGAAGATATATAAGACCCAGCCGCGGCAGACAACATCTTTCTGCTTGCGCTGGGTATGCGAATTATATAATACACACTCTAGAACATTTTCATCTTAATATATATATACACTGATTTCAAGCTTAATTGTTGATTATTGAAGCCGTTTGTCAGTGAAATGTTTTTGCAGGGAGATTTTTATCATGTCTCCAAAAAATGGGCTCCATAGACCAATTGCGAAACTTAGCGGCCGCGCCTTTATACTGCACAAGAACGAGGCTTATTATGCAAAAACAAAACAATTTCTATATTTTTATATAGCGAAAAGTGAATTTTAGGGTTTTTAAAGTGTTTTTTTCTCGAATCTCTTTGATCTTTTCTTAATATTTTGTGCTAGGTTATATAAATATTTGTTAAATTTATCTAAACATCAATTTCCCACTATAGTTTTACCCGCTTTGGAGAGATATTTCGTTGTTGTTTTAGCATGTGATGGAACAAACATATGGAAAAGATCAATCCAGACTAAAATAGCCAGTATAACTTAACAAACTAAAATATAACTCTTTCTACCCAGATTTTTTTAGACTTCGTGCGAGAAAAAAAGATTTTGTCAAAGGATAATAACATAAATTTTTTACAAATTTTGCCCAACATTTACTTTCATATTTTTAAAGTTAAAATCGAAAACTTGCTATTATATTACAACTGAAACAAAATTAGTCAATGTTACAACTTATTCTTTGAAATGTATTAATAAAACAGACGGAAAATACCTGATTCTTTCTCTGGTTTAATCTGCTTCTTTTATCGGACGGCGAAAAACAGCAAAAAATGGCCTCGCACGCCGCGGAAAACAATGAATTTTGAAGTAAGACTAAATCTATGAACAAGTTTAATAAAGATTTACATAGTCAGAACAACAATATTGACAAAATGAAGAGATTACCTTAAAAACGCGTCTCAAACACTGAAATTCATTTTTCCCCATATAAAAATATACCAGAATGATTTATTTTTGCATAATAAGCCTCGTTTTCGTGCAGTTTAAGGCGCGGTCACTAAGTTTCGCAATTGGTCTATATATGCTTTCTAAACTGCTTAAATTTTGCTCCCATTATGTTTTGCACGCTTAGAGTTTAAGGTTTAAGGTTTTAGAGTTTAAGGTTTCAAAGGACAACCTTTATTGAATTAGCTGTATATATATATATATATATATATATATATATATATATACATATATATATATATATATATATATATATATATATATATATATATATATAT